TTAGGTCGGACCTAACCAAACCACAACCAATTTAAAACGTTGTGCTTACCGACTGTGCTAGCTGGGTCAATATCGAACACTAAAACAGCAAATCTAAAATAAATACAAATGCCTTCATGTATATCACAAGAAAGAAAGAAATAAAGCTATCCTTACCATGAATTATTCAAAATATTGTCGATCCTTTGCATCGTGAAAATCCAACATACTGCAGCCATGTAAATAATCTCGTATTAAACTGACATCCAGAGAAGAATCATGCGAGCGCAATACTGAAAAGAAATTAAAATCGAACCAAAATCTAATAAAAACAAAAAAGTCGTCGAATGCTCGAGCTGGTGACAATTTCCGAAAAATCTTCACATCCGATCGAATGACATGGATTCAGTACTGTTTCCCCAATATAACTCGGCCGCGGACTGGGCACAAAAAAGCAAGAACGTCATGTAACGTCAAGAATAGTGAGCTGCCTCGCTACGCTCGGTAGCAATTAGGAACTGTTGTTAGACAAATGTTATATTGATATGACACCAATATGCTTCTCATAAAGTAGTTATCTATTAAAACTACGTTGTGTAGTTTAAGTTATAACCTTTTACCTTGAAATTGTCTTCGACTTGTTTATATTCAGATTCAGCCTGGATTCAGTATATTATGATCGCGTGCACGGGAATTCGAAGTCCAAATTTCGGATTTTCAGCGTCGTGCACAAAGAGAAATGCATTAACTAAACTAGCAAGAATATCCAGAGTTAGACCCAATGCAAAATCCACAGAAAACAGGTAGGCCTACAATTCGTTGAAAATTTTAACGAAATTGTTTGAAACAGTTTCCCACTCCACGAAAGGCCGCCATTTTGAAAAGGATAAATTGGGTTTTATTAGGCAGTTCATTTATATTCTATTTTATGACTAGAAATCCACTAAAAATGCGAGCCGAAACCTACAGTATACTCGCCAGGGCACAGTGCCCCAGCGAGTAATTAGGTAAGCGTAATATTTGATGTAAAGCGCATTTTATCACAGCCTACTAAGCAGACCCCACCCGAATCTTAGAACGAAACCAGTTTCCTTAGAATGAAATTTCGAGCTGCAAGCAGGCTAATTTGATCTTATCCACATGGATATTCGCGCTATAGAAATGCTAATCGGAATCGTGAAAGGGTCAAGTCATTGACTGCATGGGATTCGAGTCGCTATTTTTAGCGACTCGACTAGAGTCCCGAGTTAACAGCCCCAAATGACTAAGCCAGTCGGACTCGACTTGTTGATTTCTGCCGCAAGATTTCTGCCCAATCGACTCAACGAACAACTTAAACAGAATAAATTCTTTGAAGTTATTGTGATTGCATTGGTAGAGAAAAACAGTGAGTCCTGCAGTGAACAGTTTGAACTTCGAAAATGTATCAGAAAATATATGGGACCTTGCATTGGATCGTTCTCTGAAGGGCGTGCATGACCGTTCAATGCAAAATTCTCAAATATTCCCTATTATATATCTGTCTTTAGAAACGACACTGGTGCTACATTTTCACCATAGTCTCAAAATTTTGGTGTAGTTACTAAACTTTGACCCGCTATTTTGGTCGGCTGGTGACATTGAATTTTATTAAAAAGCGTGATAGTACTCTGATCGGATGCAGTCACAAGATTTAACTTAGTTATGCAAGTTGTTAGTTACTTGTATGTACTGCAGCAGGCAGGTTGAGACAGCTGACGTGGTCGTAATTAATATAATATCGAGTATAACCATGATACCAATCAGTCAATCAATCAATCAATCAATCACATTTCATTAAATTTAATATAACTAGTAAATATTACAGTACTACACCAAAAATATTGGTACAGCCTACTAGAAAGTGTGGGTTGCACTTGGTCAAACTCCATGACCCAAATCAGCACTTTCTTTGCTCCTTGTACGCTGAAATCTCTGCATCAATTCTCCATCGATTAAAAGCATGAGAAAAGTCTGGTTAAGTGTGTTGACCTAACCAATCTAAAATTACATCTCGGATAGAAATTAAAGGCTGAATGCTTGGACATACAAACAGACATTCGACGTTCCGAGCGAACGTCCTTTAGCTATACTAACTTCATGATGAAGGCATTTCGCTCGAAATGTCGAAGTCCAGCTCCTTGTATTTTTCAGGTAGTCCTATGATCTCTCTCAATGCGTAGTTATCTTTTTATCGTCGCTACCAACACTAGCAAAGACCGTTCGAGTCTTCCCTTTCTTCTCTATGAAATTGGATCGGGGCCGATGCACATAAGGAAAGCTGCGTTTTAGGAAGCTTGCCTTTGGCATTGCTAACTGAAGCTTAAAGTAATTGCTATAAGCAAGTGATAGTTATCGTTGTTTTGAATTGGGTTTCATTTGACCATTTCGAATATGTGACATGATCAAATGTCATGCTAGTTTGGGCCGGGCTATTTAATTAATCGTGCTGCTTTATTAATCGTGGTATATAGTTACGTTATTTTTGACGGTTTCGAGATCAACAGTCTTCTTTTGTACTGTCGTGCCGAACAGTGAATCTGCAATTATAAGCACAAACGAATTGTACGTACATGGTCAAGATTATTTTTTGGAGAACATATAGTTCAGCTTTTCTAAGCGTTGGTTTGACACTAGATACCTTTTTGCATTTTTCATCAAAATGTTTAGTCCATTGTAGTTTGTAATTATACATGTAAAATGTGTCTGCTTATTTTTGAAAGATTTATTCAGTCAAGTACTCATTCCAATGAAGAGTAATGCTCTTTCATGGGCGCGGCTTAAGCACTAAGTATCTTGAATTTTTACCGTCTCAGCCATGTGAAAAGTCAGGGTACTTTGGTTTCTTCCCACGGAGAATGTTGACAGGTAGGCTTGAATAAATAACAAAAATCCTTTCCATCACAGCTGTGCATCATAGATTGCATTTTGGTTTGAATCTCGTGGGCATGCTCATGAGGAGTCATTACACTTGCGTGAAAATTCAGTCGACGCTCTAATGAAAGCCGCGGATTGTAGCCCTATATAAAGTGAATTTGAAAGATAACGCACGTGTGTCGTCCCTGACTCCTCAGGTTTCTCCCATGTGAAATATTAAATAGGTAGGTTGGGCCATATCCCAAACAAACCTTTCGAATTCTATCACAGCTTTGCTACATCATTGCTGTACTGAGTTGTTATATTACTATACCTGAAATAAATAAGCAGAAACTCGACGTTTCGAGCGAAGGCCCTTCGTCAAGACAGTTTTAATTACCCTTAGCTTATACTGATCCTTTAACTCGATCAAATTGAGTTGCGTTTTTCTTATTCTGCACAGCTATCAGCTAGAAGTCATGATTAGCACATCCCAAATGCCTTACTTCGCCGCCACATGCCTCATTATATTCTGCATGTCGAATATACGTTTTATTTACCTTATCTGCGAGACTGCGACGCGCGCAAAAATACAATAGTCTTTTTAATATACAGTAGCATTGAATTATACTGCATCTCATACACACTTAGTTGTATAATATTTAGACATTTTAATTCTATATATTTTTGCGCACATATACCGAAGTTTTAATCTAATTTAAAAATTAACACACAACAACCTAACATGCAACGGGCTATTGCTAATATATTTATGATAGACATGCGCTCTTGTATAGTTGGACATTGTACAACGAATCCTATAATTAAATGTTATTTTTTCTAATTTTCTGTGAGGAGAAGCAGAAAAATGCTGATTATAAAAAATACTATACATTTGGTGGACGTTTGACAGGACCGTTTAATGTACTGCCAGACTAAACAGAAATACAAGCGTTCCATAAATACAAAAATAAGTGTAGATAGAGTTTCCATTATTAATTAAATATTTTTAGAGATTGCAATTCGATCGAATCGTCATAAATAAAGTAACCAACGGTCATTCTCTTTTTTAATGGTTCTTTTGACATGCCATATGTTGTGTTCACGGCTGTGTGAATTATGATGACGATTCCTATCATTAATTAAAACTGATTACTATAAAACAATGAAAAACAAGAAAGAGTGCATAGCTGACAACCAACATGGAATGAGTTGTAACAGAATCCCTATTTGTAACACAGTCAAAATTTGGAGGTCATCGGTTTAAAATTGCGTTTGAAAACCATCATTTTGTTCGTCAATTTCGCGGGAAATCCGTATTTTTTTAGTCAGGCTGAACAAATAAATAGTATTAATTAAACGCCCACCAAATGTATCGTTTTCGTAATCAGCATTTTTCTGACACTTCTGTGTCAAGTCGAAAGCAACGTTATTATGGAATGGATTTCGCTTGAACGTAGATTAAAATTTGTTCTACCACTGCTAATAATACAACTTTAAAACCATTATTTGGTGCAAAATATATAAAGCACTATAATTCAGAAATAAAGCTTCGTGTAAAATCCACATTTTCGAGCCGAAATTCAAGAATATGAGCAGCTTTTCCCATTATGCATTGCGCTATATCGATAGAATTGCCCTTTGCCGGTCAGAGATTATATGTTCATGGCTGTTTCTTGAATTGTCGTTTAAACTATAGGATATAACGTAAATACTATCTTGATATTCAAGACTAAAGTTTGTGGAACCAATAACCGTAGGTCAAATTTACGAAAGTTTGTCTTTGCTTTTCGCTGCTTTAAAGAACTAAAGTTTTGATCTGTTGAGTGCCTGTTTAGTTTACTGTAAATTAATTTAATGCTTGCGCTCCATAAGTCTGATTTAATGAGATACTAGTAGAGTAAAATATCAAACAATAACATTTCATGATTCCCGACAGTTGGTACATGTATCTGGTGTATGTTACCTATCTGTCAATGATGTTTCGACGGGATATGCCCAGGACGTTTACATTCAGTGTAAAATATCCAAGCTACACTGACGGAAACGTGACTGGGCATAATAAAAAAATTTTGTCAATATTTTTATTAGAAGTTTAACTAGCCTGCCTAATATCTTCCCACATTTTGACTTGATAGACGTTTTGACACGATCTTAATGACATTGATGATGTTCATATGGATTGGATTTCCCCCCAATCCCACGGTATAAAAGAACGAGGTTTCTCAGGACTCAGTAAATATAACGACAAGAAGGCAAAATAGATCTGGTGAGGCTCAAAACGTGAAAAGCTGCAAAAATGAAGACTTTGTTATTATTAACAGCTGTTGTTGCATTTTGTTGTAAGTATATAAATTTTTCCAATGTTATACTTAATAATAATTGGCAAGCTAGATGTTTTGAAATCTAGATATACTGCCCATGCATTTAGGCTAGGACATACTCAAATTATTCTTGCCACAGGACACTATGCGAGTCTAGATTTTAAGGCCATTTGATTATGGTAATGCATAAGCGTGTGGCACTAAGCCTGATCACCATGCATACATGGGTAAAGCTGCATTTCCCAAAAAAATCTGCAGAAATATGAAGACTAAGTCAGATATATATTATCTTTTATTTCATTTGCAGATGCAACCTCAATTGATACAGAAGAAGGTAAGCCATGTATATTTAGACACTACTAAGCGATAAAGAAATGTTTTTCTCAATTCGTCTCAGGACCCAGAAATTTCGTTTCTCCATGCAGGCGAGCATGCACTCAGACCTTCTTACCATTGGCTATGAGCCTCTAATGTTAAGCCTTAGTAATTCATTTAGTTTGCTTTGCACTTGCGTGACTAACGCGTTGGTAAAAAATCCAATTTCCTACATTTCCCTAGCTTCAAAATCTGAAGAGCATCAAGATTAGGAAAAAAAAATTTCCACTATTAATCTATTTGCAGACTTGACCTCTATTGATACAGAAGAAAGTAAGGCCAACTTAATATATCTATTTGTATTTGACATGATATGATAGAATATGTATAATAATAACTGTTCCTTTTTTTAAATTAAGAACTACAATCTCCACAAGAGTTTGATCCTGAAGGTATAAAACGTTTACTTCATGTAATTTAACCATCTAGAATTCAGAATTAGGAAAATAAAAGATTGGCACTTTTATTCTCTTTGCAGATTTGACCTCAATTGATACAGAAGAAAGTAAGGCCAACTCAATATATTCATAGATATTAGAAAATATCAACCATATTAGTAGCTTTGAATATATGCTGTATATAACAGAATCTACATTGATATTTCTATTATAATGATTTATGAAAGATAATATTAGGGCCATTTATACGGGACAAAATAAGTCGCGACTTACATAAGACGCGTCTTATATAAGCGGATTTATCGCATATTAAATGGTTCTCTACGGCTCTAGTCTTATTTACTTGCTATAGCTATAAGACGCACAGTCGGCCCAATCTCGCAAGGGTCAGTATTATAGACTTATAGTATAAATGTATATTATATTAATGTATATAATAGTAAAAATATGTCGTAAAATATAAATTTTAAAATGAAATTGACTTGCCTATTTGATAGTGTGTGTTCTCCTTTTATTCCTCCTTTGTTGGACTAATATTTTCCAAGACTTTGTACTCGATGTTGCTAGTATACATGAAACATGATAAAGGCCAACGATTCCCGATCGTCGATACGACGGCACGGCACTTCGAATCGAAAATTCTCACACTCAAATCGCTTTATTCTCCAAAACAATTCGCCAGCATGTACAACAAATGCCGTTCTTCGAAAATACAGAGGTACTTCGGCGACATGTACAAGTTTTCGACCATCTTTTAACAATGGAAATCAAAACCCATTTTATATTGAACTTACCCGGACCGAAAATTACTACGGCGAACGTCTGCGCAACCAGGCCTCCTTTACCGTTGGATTTACAGGGGGGAGGATGCCACTAATATATTCACGATAATATTTCGAATTAAAGTATCATATTCTACCATACTTTCCAACAAAGAGCCGCTGTATGTTACTTCTTCCTTAAATTTCTTCAATCTCCGTCGTTTAATTTTCTTTTCTTCGACAACATCTCGAGTTTTATACAGTATCCGATCGAAGGAGTTTTTATTTTGAATATCAAATTTCAAATAATGTAAACAGTCGCTACGCGGCCGCGATTGGCTGGCTGTTACCGGAAATATCTGCTTCCCCCCCCCTGTAAATCCAACGGTAAAGGAGGACTGGTTGCGCAGACGTTTGCCGTAATAATTTTTGGTCCGGGTAAGTTCAATATAAAATGGGTTTTGATTTCCATTGTTAAAATATGGTCCAAAACTTGTACATCTCGCAGAAATACCTCTGAATTTAAGAAGAACGGCATTTGTTGTACATGCTGGCGAATTGTTTTGGAGAATAAAGCGATTTGAGTGTGAGAATTTTCGAAGTGCCGTGCAGTCGTATCGACGATCGGGAATCGTTAGCCTTTATCATGTTTCATGTATACTAGTAACATCGAGTACAAAATCTTGGAAAATATTAGTCCAACAAAGGAGGAATAAAAGGAGAACACACACTATCAAATAGGCAAATCAATTTCATTTTAAAATTTATATTTTACGATATATTTTTACTATACTATAAGTCTATACTGACCCTTGCGAATCTTGCGAGATTGGGCCACCTGTGTAAGACGCGACTTAATTATGAACAGCTAAAAATCCTGTTCTTAATTAAGTCGCGTCTTATCCAAGACGCGACTTACATAAGAATTTTGTACCTTTTATACGACAAACTCGCGTCTTATTTAAGTCGTTTTGGTCATTTGTTATCTGTTACTTTCGTTTTGATCATTTGTTATTCTGCCTTTTTTGGCTTTGGGTTCAGCTATCTAGATTTATTACAAACCCGTCTTTTCAGGATGGTTTGAGACCTTTTCTCTCCGATATCGTCTAAAATGCTCCTTCTTGGACTAAAATGCTCTTTTTGTGGCTACCTCTATACATTTTTCAGAGCAATTGTCTTTCTAAAACTGGTGTTTAAACGACGCCATGCCGTGTTTCAGAATTTGACTTAATGACTTAACCGTCCATTTGTCTCTCGTTAATAGTCCCTCTCAAAGATCTTTCCCTTGATATTGTTCTCATGCAACAATTCCTCATTTGACATTTTGTCTGTTTCGTTATTTGAGGGCCAGGTATTATGCTCATTATAATGATCTACTAATTCAGTTTTTGACATGACATGACATGACATGACATAATATGATAGAGTATGTATAATAATAGACCTTATTCATAAATCGTGATGAGGCCTCGTATCCTAGGAAACGGGGAAAAACGCGGGAAAATTGACAAAATGTTTTTTTTGCTGTCGGTTATGGCAGCTTTTTTTCGTGAATATTACGGCTTTTTTCGAAAAATATATTTATAAAACTGATCTTGAAAGTTGAAAAAATACTTCTGAAAAAATATAACATGATATTTAAAGCAAAAGATGCTGGAGTCAATCGAAAAAGGAAACCTTGACTTTGTATTTATATTGCAAAGTTTGTATGCGCAAAACTAACAACCAACAAGGCTACAAAACATCTATACAACACCAAAATCGTAAGAAATACGAAACTATTGTTGAAGAAATAGGATTACAACTCACTCAGGTAATGTAGCCTTCATTTTTTAAACTTGTAAGCTGCTTGCAGAATGTTTATATCGAACCACAGCCATAGTTCATATTTCCGTACGAATCAATAACATTTGACGTTCTCTTGTGATGGTTGACCTGTTGTTTTCTTTCATATTTATGTCAAATTCGAAAAATTATACTTCCATTCCATAGTTGTCTTGATTCTTCACGGAATAACCTTCATATTGACGTTAAAATCTCAGTAAAATGCTGTTTTTTGCTTCTGGATAAACACCATCGCTACGTTGTCATTTTTTCCACACAAAAACGGGAGAAAAACCGGTCGCTTTTATAATATACTCGTTTACCGCTTTCGTTGTGGGCACAAAGTCTTAAAATACACACAAATATCGTTATAAATCGCAAAAAGCAACAAGAAACAAGCCGTTAAAGTCGACACAATAGCATCTGAATTTGGATTGTCAAGCAGTTTTCGCTTGTTTTCCCGCGTTTTGTTCCCGTATCCTAGGATACGAGGCCTCGTCACGATTTAAGAATAAGGTCTATACAACTGTTTAATTAAGAGCTACATTCTCCACAACAATTTGATCCTGAAGGAGAAACGTTTACTTCATGTAATTAAACCATCTAGAAAGCTATCGATAATGGCCAGCTAGAATGTCGTCAGTGAGATTGCTTTAAATTAGCATAGTGCATATTAATAATTATGTGCATATATGTTATTTAAGAGGCAATTTTTTCTATGTCACGTATTTGCAATGAAAAGTGTTCAAAACCTAAAATGTTTTTGGCGTTCTTCTCAAAATTACTTTGTTTTAGCTTTGTTCTCTGGTTTATAGAGTTAGCTACCTTTTTAAATGCATCTGCCGGTTGAGAAACATAGTAATAAAATAATAGTTAAAAATTGTCAATTAAAACACAATTATCAATGATGCTTTAAAATTGACGCCATATTTACAGGCATATACTAGAAAATACATGCATGCAGAAACCCTCGCCTTGCTGACAAACAGACAAAACCATTGTATTTTCCGAACATGAAGTACCTGAAGTAGTTGTCATGGTAACACGATAATTTTTTAAGAATATTCTTACAAATGAAAAATCGCCTAAAAAATATCACTTTTAATTACAAAATTATTAATTTGCCAACATATATATGTTAGGTATGTTATTATACGTAATATAAGCCTCAATTTAAGGTAAAATTCAACCACAAACGCTTCGCAAAACGTTTTAAAGTCACTAGTGTTCTTTATAAAACTAAACTGACTTTTAAAATGGCTTTATCGATAAACTTTGAGTTTGCAATAAAATGACTTCGAATTCTCGCTTGCAAATAACTCTGCTTTCTTTTTTATTTAAAAAATTCAATATCATAAAAAAGGGAATCAATATTACTAAAGATACATGCTGTCTTGTTTAGTTGTTTCATATATGCAAAGGCCGTCGGGTTTTAAATTAAATCCATTATAAAATCAATATTTAAAACAAAGTTACCTTCGTTAACGTTGGCTCACTTCTTTTAGCCGATTCTTTCGCTGTTTCTTTCTTGAAATTTACAAAATCTTGCGAAAATGCGAGCGAAAATAAAATATATTTGTGATATTTGCAAGAAATTTATCAATCATCAAATCAAGAAATGTTTGCTATTTAGCTGTCGTCATGCAGTCGTTATATTGCAAACTTTAAATTGGACCAATCAGTTTTCGCTATTCATGACAGTCCGCCACATATTTTGAGATCAGTGAGGATGACCACCCACCGAAACTTCGTTGGTGAGCCACGCCCGCGATATTTGATGAACTTTAGACTTCGCTAATGCTTTCGTTTCCCCGGGTGTAAATAGCCGGGGGGAATTAGTACCCTCGCACGGCGCTTCGCGCCGTCGGCTCGGGGATTAAGCAAAACTTACTGAACTTCAGACATAATTTATTTATCTTTGGCGTATCATCTAAAATCTCTTCATTTTTGCATTATTTTACAGATAGAGCACTAAACATACTTTTTAATTTTGTTTGCCGATTGAGAAACGTATCTATCGAAAAATAAAAATTTTGAATTTAGTTATAACCTCAAGTGATATATTATACGCATTAGTTTTGAGCGCGTGTTACGTAACATACAAAAAAATCTCCTCTTAATATTCTAAGTGAAAAAGTCTTAGAAAACTGTACAGTACATATTTATAGATTTCTATTTCCGTTTTAAGACGTTGTTATATATTCCATTTTCTGCAAATAGATCAGCGCGCAAAGACTGACGTTATCATTTGAAGTATTAGTATAGTACTTTTAAATTTTATTTTACTGTAACACCTCACTATTTACATGCAGCTTTCTCAAACACTTCCATGCCCTGACTTAATTCTGTTTTTGTCTGCATGGCTATACAAAATTTAAATCATTTATTAAGAAAGCAATCTTTAATTTAAGAAAATATTTCTTAATTAAAATGAGAAACATTTTAATTTCTTTGTTCACCTCTTTCATCCAGAACCAAACGTTCGTTGATGATATCATCTTAAACATTCAGTGCTAGTGTGGGTAGTAGTAGGTACCGAAGAATGCAACTACGGGCAGTTGTTTTTGTTGGGGTTTTGTTCTTTTTTGGGGGGAGGCTATTTTCCATAAATTGCGGCTAGCGATAATGAAATTGCTGGATGAATAAAATTTTGTCTTTATCATAAAATTTCCCCAGTGGCGACGAGATGGAAGGGGCCGGAGGGAAGAAGCATAAAAAAATTTCCCGACCTAATATATTTCCTTATTTCTTGATGTTTTTAATGCACCTAATTATTTTCTAATCATTTTTCCAAACTTTGCACTTCGACTGATGATTCCAGGCATACAGGTTAAATTGATATTGCTTAGTACCAGAAAACGGAATCTCTTAATAACAAAAAATCAAAATAGAAGTTTTAGAAAAGAATTTTGTACATTTTCATGTGTTTTGCGCTGAATATGCACTTCATATGCAATAATCTGTTTTTTTTGCAGCCGACGATCAAGACGTTAGTAAAATATCAAAAAGACGCTGGGGGAGAAGTAAGTAACATCAGAAATAAATTCACTTATTTGGTAACTTTCATCAATATATTTTGAAATCATACAATATAGTTTAACATTCCACTGTGGACACTTCTCTGATACAGGCAACGGACGTAATAAATCGAAATATTTTCCTCCTGCATGCCAGGAGGTTATGTTTTCATCCGCGTTTGTATGTGTGCGTGTGGTTTAAAAATATCAAACGATTTATGACGAAATTTTGTGTGCCCAGACTAGTTTCATATAAATTTAATTGACCTCATTATTTTGGCACTAACGCTTGTATTCTAAAAGCTCACTCACACTCAAAGAGTGGAGGTACATTTGTCCTTCCCTTGAGTGTCAGTGCTGTTTCTGAATAGCTAGCTATAGATAGTGAGTACTGAGTAGTCACTAACCCTATACAGCTATTCGAAAACAGCACTGACACTGAAGGGAAGCTCAGATTGAACCTCCACTATTTGAGTATGAGTATGAGTGAGCTTTTAGAATACAGGCGTATTACTAAGTGATGAGGTGAAGATAGTTCGTGTCGGTTATATCTGCTTATGTCCAGCCATTCCGCGGCTCGCCTGCGTTGCAGACCGTCAACTTGCGGGCGAGGCAAACGATGGAAACTGAGAAGCACAGTCTGCTGGATTTCGCTCAATGTAGTTTGTATACCGTTCCGCTAAAATATTACATTACTTATGTTTACAAGCATCGCCATCAAATCGAAAAATTAACGGTAGCTTGCAATAGAACGCCGTAGGTTTTTTAAGATGAAACCTAATCCTATACAGTAGAAACATTGATTTTTACAACACGATAAAATATAGCCACTTCTTTCAACCTCACAAGTAGGTGAATTCTGATGGGTTTGCTATTAAATTGGATTAGACGTGCGTGCAAATTGAAATGCGAAATATAGACTAAATCTTATATAGGACGTCGGAACGTCAGAACGATTAATGACATACTGTATGCATGTCTATTGTGCTTTTTGCGCCAAGAGGTCGAGGTTTTGCGGTTTTGAATTCGACTTTAAAAGGACAATTTCAATTGGTTTGGTTATAGATAAGCGTGCAATAAATATTTCATTCACTTTTCTTAATATAGAATGGATAGAGTATGCTTTTGAATCGGAATATTTAAAATTAAAAACATAGACTATATTATTTAAAGATCAAGTTGTTCCGTGCCTTACAATGAAGCAAATATCTTCTCCCACATAACTTGAAATTGGAATTTTCCTCAAGTTGCCAACGATTTTTTCTTCTTACGGCTATTTTGTATGATAGAAAAGCCACTGTCGAGAAAATCTTAGTTACGCAATACTCGCACTTCGCCACAAATAACGGAAACAGTTATAATAAGTTTTTCATAACTTGGAAGTAGCACTACATAAACATTGTTGTGTTTGACTAATATTGCCCCCATTACCTTAATTTCTGCATACCAAATACACTATTCGCTCCTAGTTTAAAAACAGTGATCTGATAAGTTTTACTTATTAGGACGCCACTGGAGACGGCGAGGATCACCAGGAGCTCGTGGACCACCGGGACCGAAAGGGCCCAAAGGAGACAGAGGGTCTCCCGGATCTCGTGGTCCAGCTGGAAATCCTGGATCTAAAGGACCACCAGGACCGAGAGGGTCCAAAGGGGACAGAGGGTCTCCTGGATCTCGTGGTCCAGCCGGACGTCTTGGATCTAAAGGACCACCAGGACCGAGAGGGTCCGAAGGAGACAGAGGATCTGCCGGATCTCGTGGTCCAGCCGGACCTTCTGGACCGACAGGATCAACAGGACCGAGAGGGTCCAAAGGAGACAGAGGGTATCCCGGATCTTCTGGTGCAGCCGGACACCGTGGACCTCCCGGACCAAAAGGTAAAACATTAGAAATGTTGTTGACCGCTAACCAGAAGACTCCGAATCGGTTTACTTATTGTTTTGTTCATATGAGGAAGTCGAAATTGTCGAAATTTTGGCTCAGCTTTCCGAGACAAGATCGTCGGGATAAAGATGTCACGTGTGAGCAAACCAGGCTCAGTGTAGCCAGCTTCCAAATTAATTAAGTCAAGAAAAAAATTTGGAAATTTGTCTTGTAATTTGACAATTTTTTCATAGGAAATTCTAGAGTCTATATTTGCTTGTCCAAATCGTGCATCTAATTCTAGTATTCGGTGTTCGGATAATAGTTTTACTGTCGTTGCAATGGAAGTGTTGATAAAATATTGCAACAATTCATTACCTAACACTGATCAATTCATTTGGTCAAAAATTGCTCAACTTCCTGTTTACTGGCATGCTGTTGTTCCCAATTGGTCAATCAATCACTGAAACGTAAAGCCATTGGTTGATTGAAATACACAGGAAGTTGATCAATTTTTCAACGAAATAATTGATCAGTTCTAAGTAATGAATTGATACGATATTTTATCAACACTTCCTTTGCAACGACAGTAAACTAACGAAGCGCAATGACAATTTGAATTGCAGCCTGCGTGTTGGGCCTTTGTTGAAACGGGAAAGACGAATCGAGAACGAGGGCCAAAAGCCGGGTTTTTCTGCAGTGGCAAAGCTAGCCATAGCAACAGGCCATAGTTCACTGCAAATTTTTAATGATTCGCATTATTCAAATCTTTAGAATTAGTATTTTTGCACAAGTGAACATAACAAATCCTACAAGGTGATTGGTCAAATTTGTCGTATTAATCTGTTATATTCACCTACAGGTGAATATAACAAAATCGAAATTTTCAAAATGGCTGTTAGCCGTTTTGTTGAAGTTAGTGATAAAGAAATAAGCGAAACTAAAATGAATTCTGACCAGAAAAACACAAGCTCTCAGGCTCGGTGATTATTCTGACCAGAAAAACACAAGCCCTCAGGCTCGGTGATTATCGGGGAATATTCACCTCGACTTCGTCTAGCCGATTAATATTCCCCGATAATCACCTCGCCTTCGGCGAATAATTGTTAAATGTATTGACTTTGACCTGTTTAGATGCTAATTTATTAGCATAACATGACCAGTTGTCATGGCTAGCTTCGCCTCTGCTTTTCTTCTCCAACTAGAGCCTGCCACACAGACTATGTGAGTATTAAGTCGTCATGCACGATGTTCACTGCTGTTTTGCTAAAAGAAATTTCGAGTGATATTTATGAAAGTCTTTTAATATTATTTTTTATTAGATGTAAATCTTGTTAATTATGCTTGATTCTCACAAGTGTTTTATCACATTACTTCCAGGCGAGCCAGGAGTTTCGTCAGAATCGGAATGTGAAGTTGTTACTGGTAAAGGGACAGTAACCTGTCCCGCGAATAAATGTGCATTCGGTTGCGTAGCATCATGTGGCTGTCCTGATTCTACAGATGTGCATACCTGTACTTCTGAGTGCGAAAACGACAACGTTAAGGCATTATGCTGCTAGCAATGTCGGTTATCACCTGAACGAAAATGAGCATCTAAAGGACAGACCACTGGTAGATATAGAAAAATCAACCTAAAGACAAACTTAGCTTTGCATAGCTTAAGTCACATATATTAACATGTGAATCGTAGCATAGAATATGGTTGTAACAGCATTTTGTTAAATAAATTTTAAATTTCATTTAAAAACAATCGATAAATTCGTGCACGTGATTAATCATCATTGGTTTGTACCTAACCGTTTTGTAATTGTTTCATACTTTCAATCGTTTTCAAATGGCATAATATTTGGTCTTTACAGAGGAACGGTTCCATCACCAATAGTGCTTTCAGGAAGACCCTCAAAATAATAATATGAATGCATGTATACATCAGTGAGCTCTCTATATATATATCTCTCTGGAGTAAGATCTTCAGTCATTCGGTCAATGAAAAAAGTGAAGCCCAGACGGCGGCCATTGACGTCCAATAGCTCTGAAGGTCGTAAACAGTTTTTATACTATTTTCCCCAGCTAATTCCAGTAGTTTATAATGTACCGTATCACTAATCAAGTTTTCAGTTCATAAAATCACAATATTATTCTTTAAATCGAAGTCAAAATACGAAATTTCAACACACTCCTTGCCAAGATGGCGGAAATTGAAGGAGCTATTGGACGTCAGTTCCAGTCCCTTTGTATTGTTTTTGTATGCGCGGTCAACACGAAACTGGCTTCACTTTGAGAAACCAAGTTCCTACTCCAGTATATATGGAGCTCACTGGTATACATACGTTAAAAATTGTTAAAAACGTTCATTATAAGTTCACTATAAGTTAACTATAAGTTCAACAGTATTGACTAATAACATTTTGAGTTCTCTCTTAAAAATATTTTGAGGCATCGGTTTCTTCCCGATACTTAGAAGTGATGCCCAATCATTTGTTGCCCTATAATAGGTTGTCCTCTTGTCCCATTCAGTATACTTGGCTTAGGTTGCCTAGGCAACTGACTGTTCCATGTATTGTATCCATTGGAGTCACTTAAGGTTGATCTGTAACATTTGAAATGTTCGGGTATATTTCCTTTGACGATGACTGCTTACCCCCTTAAATTTTCTTAGCAAATCGATTCTGAAAAGCCTGTAGTTGATCCATCTCGGAGTTCACACCAACCTGATCTCCCCATACCATATCGGCGTAGTCTAAATGTGGTAAGACTAGTTCATTAAAATATGCAACACCAGATTTATGATCCAATTAACATATGATTAATTCGGTTAAATATGGAGAGTCGATGGCCTAACTTTCGAAGCAAATCCTTAATATGTGGTTTCCAACTCCATTTCTCATCCAATGTCACACCGAAATATTTAAAAGACTGGGTCCGATCTATCTCAATGCCATCTCGTGACTGTAGCTTGAAATAATCAAATTTTGATAACATAAGTTTACTACCTGGTAGAAGAAATTTTATCTTCTTGATATTTAGCGTTAATCTGTTGTCGGAATACCAACTAGAAAATACATGCATGCAGAAAGGCCTTGCTGACAAAACAATTGTATTTTCCGAACATGAAGTATTTAAAGTAGTTGTCATGGTAACACGATAATTTTTTAAGAATATTTTTCCAAAATGAAAAATCTCGTAAAAAATATCACTTTTAATTACAAATTATCTATTTCCCAAACATATATATAAGTAACGGAGTAACGGAGTAACGGGTTGGAGTAACGGAGCACAAAATACACGTCCTCCTGCTGCGACTATATTTAGCATATAGTCGCAGCAGGAGGACGTGTATTTTGTGCTCCGTTACTCCAACTTAAATGAATGTTACAAATCACAAGTATTTGATATCTCACTGCATATTAACTGCTAGAGTTCTTGTGAGTTGTGTTCCGGCGGGTTGGAGCCTTAAATTGCTGGAGAACAGAACAGCAGAATTGTATGTGAGTATTTGTATGTACAGTGATATAGCGACGATACTACGACATCTAGATCTATCTCTCACAATCCACAAAGCGAACCAAGAAGTACTTATTGTGTTGAGAACATCATAAACTGTGCAATTTAG